AAATTTTGGAAGGGCTACTCGCGGTGTGTAACCGTCTGGGGTGGCAGCCGAAATTTTGGAAGGGCTACTCGCGGTGTGTAACCGTCTTGGGTGGCAGCCGAAATTTTGGAAGGGATACTCGCGGTGTATGACCGTCTCAGATGGCAGCCGAAGTGTTTTTCTTTTCTTTATCTTCTTCCTTAAACCACGCGGTAAACAAAGCTCGATATCTCCAAAAACGCTCGCGAAGCCAATCAATAAAAAACAATAACATAAATTGTAATCGCATAAAATCATTTAAGTGGAACCCCGGCAGAGAATTTCGCGAGCGGGTAAAAAGGCCCAGCGCTACCGACGCAACGCAAAATTGCGACGAGCGGCAGCGCTCGCGCAAGACGAAGCGGAGCCGACCAAGCCCATTGACGCCACCTCCCCTCCGACATTAGGAGACGATTCCGGCAGCGACAATAGGATAAAAAACCCCACCAACATACATATAAATCAACAGCACGCGCACTCACACTTACCGACACCTTCGGAACACACACACACAGATACACATACACACGACGATTCGTGGTATGAAACTCCCTCTTATTCACCTGTAACTTCCGATCCTCCCGCAGAAAATCCCGCGGATCTGCAATCCGCCTCGACTCCTCCACCTCTCCCTCGCTCTCCTTCCCCCAACCATCAACATCCAGAATCGAACCCGTAGATGATGAATCCTCCGATTCGTCACGATCAACCACCCCTCTCCTCGATCCTAGATTTCAACACTTTCTCCGATTAGCCTCCACTTATAAAAAAGCAAATCCGGAAAGAATCCCCTTTGTCCTTGACCCTCTGACTACAGATCCTTCCGAAATCTTCCGGGTAATAACCACCACTCAAGCTAGAAAACTCCTCCCAGTTAAGTTCCCTTATATAGATGATATCCGCTTAGTTCCCGTCCATCATTTTTATACGATGTTCCCTCCAAGTTCCGCAAAAATCCAAGAAATAATAGAAATAGACCTTGAATAATTCCTATCCCACGAATCGCGGCGTTTCAAACCTGCTAGCAACACAATTACACTTGTAAAACCCCGCCGGAGGCCCCTCACACACGTATCGCGTCACGCATACACTCATATATATATGTATTCCCCTTCTCTAGCCTCCGAGCGATGACCCCCCTGTTTAATGTACAATTCGCGATATCACATTCATCTACACGAACACACACCTAAAATTGTAATACCATAAAATCAATAAATTAATATTATACGTAGCATAATTTATCCATTTAATTAAGACGACCTCTCATCATTCCACATCCTTGATTGATCGCACGGTCTCGTCCTTAGTCCGTGGAGTTAATTCTCCAGACTTGAGAAGAGACCAACGAGTGAGTGTTCGTAAGACAGAGTAAGATCGGCGTACGCCGTTGACCTGTCGACGAACGTAAGCAAACTCGCTCGACTCCGTTGCAGCGGGATCGCCAACCTGCTGTACGGAGATAGACAGAGAAACGACAGCTCTCTGTTACTCCACCATAGCCCGACCGTAACCGTGGGCCAGGACGTAACACAATTTATTATACATTTATGATAAAAAATTAATTTAGAAAACAAATAAAAAAATTTTTTTCGCGCCGGCAACACTTCCAATATAACATTTTTTAAGAAACTGTTTTGAAACTTGGTACAAAATAACTACAAACTGTATATTTTAAATTTATCATAAATTTATGATAAAAAATTACGTGAAAGTTTCGGCCAATAAGAGCCATACGCTGTTTGTCGCGTATTTTGTATATATACAGGGTGTCCGACAATTACTTTAAAATCTCTTGTAGGCAGGTAGAAGAAGTAAAACTGAGTCGAATAGTCCTGAACCATTTTTTTTCTATTACATATAATAAACAAATAATTATTGAATAAATCAAGCCAATCAGCGCCGACTTTTAGCCGATTGCACGTTAGTGAATTACGCGCCTGGTGTGCGTGAGCGCTCCGCGCGGCTCACTGACATGCGCCCGGCTAAAGATCGGCGATGATTGGCTTGATTTATTCAATTACT